GGGCGCACGGCCTGGGCGGGAAGGCCCGGCCTCCCCGGAAGCCGGCATCGCTGCCTGGACATGTTTCCACCCGAAACGCGCAGCTCGGGGGCGGCGTACCTGGACCGCAGCTTTACAGAGAATCTGGTGGGTGACAGTGGGCACCCCTCTTTCTATGTGGGGCTGCTCGGGGCTGACCAGCGGCCCGGCAGGGGATCTCTGGCGAGCGCACCCTGGGCGGGCACGCCCCTCTCCTTTCGCGGGCAGCCCCCTCCCTCTCCACCCGGCTTCTCCCGCCCAATCCGTTGAGCACAGAAGCCAAAACAAAAACAAACACAAACGTTGGAACTCGGAGTCGGAGCTTGAACTCTGCCTATTTCTGGGAGTTAGAAAGTGGAGAGCTGACACTAGCGTTTTGGAGATCCCGGGTTAAGAAAAGAGGAGCGGGGGGCAATGTAGTATAATAAACGAAGTTAGTATTGTAAAAACAGGAGCCACCATCGAGACGTCTAAGGGAGATCTTCAAAGGAGCAGTGACAATTAAATAAAATTTGCAAGACTGACCTATTGTCTATGGTGAATTTAATATGTACCAGGCACCGTACTGGCCGCCTCATATAATTCTTATTTAATCCTCAGAAATAGCCCATCAAAAGCATAATATCATGGGCTGGGGTTGGGGCATAGTGGTAGAGTGCTTACCTAACACGTCTGAGGCACTGGGTTCGATGCCCAACACCACATTAAAAAAAAAAAAAAAAAAAACTAAATAACGCATTCTGCTGTCATGTATAACAAACTAGAATAAATAAATTTTAAAAAACTAAACAAAGGTATTGAGTCCATCTACAGCTAAAACAAAAACAAAAACATAACATCAGCATTCCATTGGAAAACAGGCTCAAAGGAGTTAATGAACTTGCCCAAATCAAATAGCAAATGAAGGCGGACGACTTGCTTGAACCCAAGTATATGATTCCATGTATCCATTACATTATACTGCAAAAGCACAAAGACATCAGAAAAGAGCTTACTGGAACTACCACCATCAACTTTGAAGCTGTTTGTTCTGTCACTTGGTATTTAGTACATGATTTTCTCTTTGGCACTCTGCCATGTGTGTGCAAATACCATTGGTGTTTTACTCAGATGCAGTGAGTCAAACACAGTTGTGTTCTGATTTCCTTATCCTGTTTTTACAATACTAATTTTTAAAAACTAAATGAGCAAGGACAGAGGCAGCAGGAAACTTCAAATAGGTTTATGCCAGCAAGTTGTACAATAGACAGTCTTTTTCTCCATATGCTGACATATGCCAGGATGTGTAAAGGTTTGGCAGGTACTGGCCAGTCCTGCAGTCCTTTCTAACTTCAGAAACCCTCTATTTGGGGTCCAGATATTTTCCAGGAATTGGGAGCCAGGTCTAGGTCCTGCCACGGAGAATAAATGTGATTAAAGTGGTAATTCCATCCACCTTGCTCCAGATTTAGGCAAAAGCTCCAGATGCAGATTTGATCTTTGGAAGATGGAGCATAATCTTCTGGTGGCCCAATAAAATGGGATACATGAATAACACAATTCTACCCCTTAACTGTAATCTTGAGAATATGACTTACCAGTTGCTGCAACTGTTGTAACCTGAAGTAGGCCAAACTAGGGAGAAGGCAGAAATGCTAAGATTGGTGCAGGACAAGTGTAAAAAGAATTGGGTCCTCAGCAAATAACAGAGTTTCTGTTTTGGCCAACCGTAGAGCCAACCTTAACTGAGCTAAAGTTTTCAGCTGTCTGTACCAGAAAACATGACTGATATTTCTCCTGTGAGCCCCTTTAAGATAAAGACTAAATCATAGGTGTCATTGTGGCCTAGTACCTAGCACAGTATTGGACACACAGTAAATGCTTGCTTGCTAACAGTAGGGAGAGCAGAAGAGCTAAGGAAAGTTCTGGGAACCAAAGTAAGCTCTCTTCAAATGTAGATATGACTGGCTTTATTTAAACCTATTTTATCAATATCAGATTTACCACAATTATGATAAATCAAAGACAAGATTTCTCAATTTACAAAAATATATGTATATTTACCATGGCTTAATTCAACAATGTTCCATAATGCATTTAAAATCTATTTTCCAGGACTGGGGCTGTGGCTCAGTGGTAGAGCACTTGCCTAGCATATGTGAGGCACTGGGTTCAATTGTCAGCACCACATATAAATGAATAAAATAAAGGTCCATCAGCAACTCAAGACATTTAAATAAATTAATTTAATTAAATATATTTTCCTTCCACACAACTCAGGAGCAACTGAGTCAAAGTCCTTCCATTCTCTACCACAGTGTTCTGTGGTACTACCAGAGAAGTATTTAGAAATTCTGCAGATTCTTAAAGTTGCACCACATGTCCCCCTACCTCTGTAATAATTTTAAGAAGATTACTGTAAGGAGAGGAGGAAAAAAGCAACCTTTCTTAGGACTTTCTGTGTATCTGAAAAGGAATTCTCTTCAGCTGGAGACCCCTGCAGTGATATTAGACATATATATCTATATGAGATATATATCTTCACTATACATGTATACATACGTTTCCAGTATGTAATAAGTCTTCCCTCCATGTGCTTGCGCCACCAATCTTCCACACTATTTTCATTTTTTTTTTTTAACCATCTTGCTTCTTAAGAGTATGGTTTCCATTGATTCACACTACTTCCCCAATTCCTCAGCTTATTAATGCCTGGATTTCTTCCACTACCATCACCAGCACTCCGTTGAAATCATTCTTCCAAAGGTCACCAACGTCCTGATTGTCAATTTAATGACTATTTTTGGTCCTTTACCTCCTTGACCTTTCTTGCAATTAACACAGTTAACTGATTCCCCTTTCTCAAAAATTCCCTAGACTTCCACAAATCCATGGACTCTCCCTCCCTTCTTTTACTTTGCAAACTCCCTCACTAATTCTTTTTCTGCCTCTCTCTTCAATGTAGGTGTTCCTTTGAACAATGCTTTGCAAAGAGTGATCCTTACACCAGTATGAGTCTGCAAAACTGCTTGTGTTTAGTCACAAGGAGTTAAATACTGAAATTAAAAATGTTTAGCATTCATAGCAGTTTGACATGTCAGTAGTATCTAAGAACATCATCATTGGACACTTCTCATTGAACAGAATATGGAACTCTTCTCCAACTTGTGTGATGAGTTGCAGGGGGCATGCCTGTGTCTTTGTCATGCTCCTATGACCATATTTTAAGGTTATTTTTTTTCCTGCAACTCAAAACTAAGTAAAAATCTCTGAAAATGTAAATATTTTTTTTTATTATTTTACAGTAATTTTAATTTTACTTGATGCCTGGATTTACTTGAGTCTTTTTTGGCGACTCAGTCACATTAAGGGAGTAAAATTTGTGTCATTTATTTTAAGTCCTATATTGTAAGAGATGAAATAAATAAAATAAACATCTTTAATGTGTTAGTAACAGTAATAGTAAACTAAGTGATCATATAAATGATTCTAAAGAATTAAAGAACTAAGGGTTTTTACTAGTTTTACTTAGAAACATAATCCCCCACTTATTGAGTTCATAGCCATAACTCATAGCAAAGTTCTAAAATCATATACTAATAAAGTAATAAAGCCATCAAACTTAAATGACAGTTATATGTGTACAAAAATAAAGGTAATTATGAATTTGATAAACTATTTTGAATATTCTCCACCAAAATAAGTTCACTCAAACACATACCCAAAAAATCATGAATCCAAAATCCATTTCTTCTATTGAAAGGTTATTTAAATATAACTATAATTTTATAGGTCAAATTTTCCCTTTTTATAAGCACATTATATATATGGGATTTGTTATAATATATTCATACTGCACACAATAAAACAGTATAATTTGATCAATTTCATTCATTTTTGAAGGCTGAGTAATATTCCATTGTGTATATGTACCACATTTTCTTTATCCATTCATCTGTTAAGGGACATCTAGGTTGGTTCCATAGGTTGGCTGTTGTGAATTAAGCTGCTGTAAACATTGATGTGGCTGCATCACTGTAGTATGCTGATTTTAAATCCTTTGGGAGTGGGATAGCTGGGTCAAATGGTGGTTTCATTCCAAGTTTTCTGAGGAATCTACATACTGCTTTCCAGAGTGGTTGCACCAATTTGCAGTCTCAACAGCAGTATATGAGTGCATCTTTTCCCCCCACACCCTCACCAAGTATATGACAATTTTTGAAACTAGCTACTGAAGAATTTAGAAAATAAAGCTTTGTTTCCTTCATCATGGATAAAAGTTTAAAGCAAATATCCTGAGCTTACTAAAATTGCTTTCTTCCATTCTCTTCATTCCTTTGAGAAACTGGTTTCTCTAGTATTCATGTTATTAAAATAAAACACAAAAATAGTTTGGCTATGTATTACCTCCTTCAAGTAGTGTATCATCAATCCAATCAACCTACATTAGGAAATTTCACAAGGAAGGAACATACTCACTTATCACATCAAAGTTTTAAAAATTGATACTGTGTACTGTTTAGTATGAGGAATTTCTACTTAATTCTACAACTTTATATTAATTATTATGACTGTGAAATGCCAAAAATTAAGAGTATAATAGCAGTTCTCCATATTAATTACTTTTAGAGACACTTTCAATGAGCAATTGCGTTTTTGTAATTCTTTTCTTTCATACCATGTGTTTATCTTGTTATATTTATTGAAATGTAATTTTTCTATTTAATGTGAAAATGTGAGCTTGTATTTGGTTTGCCCTTATTGTTTGTTTTCATTTTATTCTTCTAGCACTTTGTTTTTGTTTTATTTTCCAAAAGTATCACTTTATGACAAATAGGAAATTTTAAAGAATGAAAAGTCCCTTCACAGATAATGTTGGAAACAACTGACCTTTGAAGGTCTTCAGTTCTCTTCTTGCTCAATTTCGATCCCATGATTTAAATCACTTCCCATGTGTGTTCTTCTTGAATTCTTTCAGGTTTCAAAAAAACAGAAACATGCTCAGTTAATCTGAATTACTCAGAGTTAATGATAATATTACAGGAAAAAAAAGGAAGAAAAAAAATGTATCTTGTCATCCCCAATCAGCAGGCAGCTCTCCTTCCTCTGCTTGTCAATGTTATTCTTAATCTCTTATGCTACTTCTACTACACTGACCTTCTCTCCATACCACCAATTCACACTCCTCAGTAGAGAGACTGTAGTTGACTGTCCTTCTAAATTGCAATTTCCAGTAGCAGGACCAGTTACATAATTTGTAGGACCCAGAGTAAAATGAAAATACAGTGCCCCTGGTTCAAAACTAAGAATTTAAAGAACTTTGCTAGTTCTTAGCTCGTATGTCCACAAAGCCAGCCAGTTGATAAGGGAAGGTCTGTGTTAGCTAACTAGTATGTACCCATGCCTAACCTGTCTCTGCCATGTAATGGACACTTAACAAATACCAGTTAGGTGAATGACCCTAACAACCTCATTTTAACTTAATTACCTCTGTAAAGATCTTGTCTCCAAATATAGTCACATTCTAAGGTACTGGGAGTTAGCACTTCAACATTATGAATTTGGGGGGAACACAAAGAATATTGGCAATATTCTGAGCTCTCTGATAAAGAGGTTAGGTTCTGCTCAAAAAGGAGAGAAAAATTAAGTATTTAAACAAGTCTAGTTGTCACATAAACTCTAGGTCATATCTCAGGAACAAAGATTTAAGACGACAGGCAGGATTTTGAAGAAAGAAAAGAATGAAAGCATTTCTTCTAGTGTTTGTATGGCTGTCATAATCCTAAAATTGCTTTTAGGTTCAACTCACTGTAGGTTCAACTCTCCCTGGCAATGGTAAGAACCAGGTACCCAAAGCAGCGAGCTGATAGATAATTACAACTCAAACCAATGAACCGAGTAATAGCAACTCTTCCATTTTCAAGTGCATGGGTTTCTCCCGGTGAGGAAAAACAGCTGATCTGGTTTGAATGTGTCCCCCAAAGTTCATTTGTTGGAAGTTTAATCCCCAAAGCAACCATGTTGAGAGGTAGGACCTTGATGAGGTGGTGAAGTCATAGTCTCTGCCCTCATGAATGTATTAATATTGTTATCATAGGAGTGGGTTTTTATAAAAGCTAATTTGGCCACCTCTTGCTGTCTGTCACCATGCATTGCCCTCTGCCATATTAAGACAGCAAGAAAGCCTTTGTCAAGTATGGACTCCTCAAAATTGGACTTCCTGCCCTCAAGAACTCTAATAAATAAATCTCTGTTCTTTATACACTGTGTGGTTTATAGTTCTATCATAGCAACATAAAACAGACAAAAGACAGCAGCTAACATAGTGTTGACATTTTCTATAAGCAAGCCATCAGGAGTTACACAGATAGGCATCACCTAAGAACTTGCTGTGACTGAGGTAACTCCTGTTATTTACAACCCTTCAAATCCCAACCATCATCTAATGCGAAAGCCTTCCCTCATTCTCCCCACTGCCCCCTATCTCCACAATGAATGGGACACAACCTAATAATTTCATTTTCCTGTGGTTTTCCTCAATAGTATTATTAACATGAGGTGTCCCCTAACCAAAGAAACAAAAAGTAGGAGTTGCAGCTGGGTCTTATTAAGAGTTTTTCCCACTTTGCCAGATAGCACCAATGTTTTGAATTTGTCTCTTTTGGCTTACAGGAATACAAACATTTTATAGTTTCTTCCCTTTTATCTTGTTTTCTTAATGACTTGATGATCTATACAGGTTTCTCTTAATTCGCTGTTTTAAATCTGTACAATTTCTACCTGATACATTGCCCTTCTTTCCTGATGAATAAGAGGTATGAAAATCAAATCACCTCTTCAAAGTCTCACACTCAACACTATTGCATTTGGGATTAAGTTTCCAAAAAAAATTGGGGGGACACATTCAAACTAGAGCAGCAGGTTTCTCCTCTTGGGGAGAAAACCATGCACCTGGAAATAGAAGGGTTTCTTCTGGTGCAGTGTCTGTATTCATTGGCTTGAGTTGTAATAATCTAGCAGCTTGCTGCTCTGATCTGTTTGGGGTAAGGTGAGTTAAAGGTAAGGAATCACATACTCCAAGCACAGTATATGTCTAATGATATACAGAGACAGTATTTTAATAATTGGGCCAGTTAACTAGAAAGGTTAGCTATCAATAGCAGAACCCAAAATAACAACAGACTAAACAAAACAGAAGGTTATTTTTATCCCAGGTGAAAGTTTAGAGATGGGAATTCCAGAGCTGAGTAAAGGTATTGCTCAACGAAGTCCTCAGGACACAGACATCTGCAACTCACAACTCCTCCATCCCTGGGCAGTGCTTAAGGTTCAAGATTGCAGTCAAAAGTCACATGCACTTTCTAGACAGCAGGATGAGGGAAAGGGTGAAGAAAAAGCCAGAGCACATGTCATTTCTCATTGAAGAGGAGTTCCTGGAAACTGCCACAATACATTTTCACTTATAGCCCATTGATCAAAACTTGGACGCAAAGCCACATCCAGTTGTGAGGATACAAGTAAATAAAATATTGAGAGGCCATGTGTGTGGCTAAAAATCAGGATTTCTATTAATGTGGATACAAGCGAGACCTAGTAGGGGGCAACCAGAAGTCTCTGCCATAAGTAGTAATATAAACACCCATCAATTGGACACTTTGACAAAGACATTCCCCACAGTTGACTGATACACTGATGGCCTCCGGTGAATCACGTCGATCGATATGCATGCCTGTATATAGTCTCTTTCCACATTGATGCTGGGCTTGGCCTTGTGACTTGTTGGCCAATAGGATCTCAGCAAGCTTAAAGTATATAGTACCTCCATAAGAGCTTGTGGTGTTCTGGATCCAAACCATGTGGGAAGCATCAGTGAGTCCCTATGAGCATGACAGACTACATGGAGAAAGATCTAGCATCCCAGCTGAGTTCAGACTCCCCCCATCCATCAAGTGAGGTCAGCAGAAGAACCACTTAGCCAATTAATCACTATTGCTTTTTACTCATTAATTTTTGGGATGGGCTATTATACAACAATCAATAAGTGGCACAGTCCCCCCAAAAAAGTTCTTCAGTTTGTCAAGCATTTACTGAGCATCGAACATGTACACAGTAGTGTTTAGAACATTAAGGAGGGTGTACTGTATTGCCTAAAATTCATTAGACTCATGAAAAAGAGATAGGTTACTGCTAACCTTAGCAAAAAAGGAGAATTCATTGGAAGAATGTACACGGAATGAAACGAAATGCTGAAAATTAAGATCAGAAAAGGTAGTGTGTCAGACCCAAGCAATGTGTAAGTCACCTTTAAACCCAACTCCTTCCCCTGAATCCAGGCCCACTGAACATTTGCTTTACCCAGCTGCCTCCACAGCAATCAACTCTGCAGGTGCTCTGCCCAGCCCCAGTACAGCAAGAGACTTGACAGGAAAGCATCTAGATGGTTCCCCACCCTCATTTCCAAGCCAAGCACAGCTCACCTTCTGGCCCAGCAGGAATGAAACAATGCCTAATCCTTGGGCCTGAGTGATGAGCAGCCTGGAAATGCAGAGGTGTTAATGCCCATGGGATAAACCCTTAATCAACAAAGATGATTGCAGCAGATAAATTCCTGTGCCTCCCTCCACCAAGACAGAATATTCTGAAACAGTAGTTCAAATGATCTCTTAAAATATACTCCCATGATACTGAGCAGTCAGTTGGGCTTGACATCAAGCATTAGCTAGGTTATTAATTTAGTATTATATAGTGATGTATTGCTTAACAACAGGGACACAGTTCTGAAAATGTAACATTAGGCAATTTTGTCGTTGTACAAACATCATGCAGTGTACCTAGACAAACTAAGACAGCTTTAAAGTCACTAGGTAATATAATTTATATAACCTCCATTGCATATGCATTTCATCATTGACCAGAACATAATTATATGGTGCATGATTGCATTAGTTTCTCCTCCTCCCTGCCTATCCACTTTATCTTCATCCTGTTTCTCCCAAACTGCACTCAAGCTGTATTTTCTAGAATAAGTGGTAATATTAAAGACCCAAGGTAAGAGACTTGGCACCAGGAGTATTCTACAGACATCAGGTTGGAAAACTGGGGTGGGGTTACTTACTGATCTTATGGCAATAAAAATCCAGGATATGGTAAGTAGTTAGTAATTAGGGCCACACAGCAGTATCATAGTTGGTAAGGCTTCCCACATATGGCTACTTGGGATGCAGTTGAAGTAGAGAGTGGGATAAGTGGTGGCTATGATGTTTGAACAGTATGAGAACAATGATTATAAGAATTGTGGGGTGGGCTGGATTCTGTTGATGGAATTGTATACCTTACAAAAGATCCTGATGTCTCAGGACAGTCACCTGTCACTCTAAGGCATACCATGATAGCCAGATTATCTCTCCTGGCAATTTTTAATAAGACTGTGATTTCCCATAATCTAAAGCAAGCTATACTAAAAGCAGGCCTAGGGTCTGATTTTAAGAGAAAACGAGTTTTAAAGGCATAGATTTGAAGGGTCACTTTGGTCCACATCTTGTCCTGGAGAGGAAATGAGTATTACTCTAAGACTTTGGATGGACAAAACTTAGAACAGGGAATCCCCCAATCTCCCCTTGTAATTTACTGGGGGAAAAAATAACCAGTTTCAGGGGAAAATCGTGTGGGAAAGGACATTTTAGTACTGACCAGTTTCTATGATGTAACATTCCTACTTTGGTCAATTTCAAGCTACCAACACAATGTCACTAAACAGAGAGTTCAGAAGAGATCTACACAATTGGCTCCCATAAGCTATAAGAAGCTCCAATCCACTGGTGACCTGAACCCTCTGGCTGACAGAAGGTATACCTCCAGCTTGTTATAAGTTTTCTATTGCCTGCAGATCATACAATGACAGCTTTTGGCAGATGGTTCCTAAAAAGCATTTGTGGCCATTTACCAAGTTAATCAAGCACTGGAAAATGAGAATGGTTAGACTCAGGGTCTGAGCAGACACTGTTACCATTATGATTCTCCAGTTAGAATGGAGACCAATGGAGTTTTGGCTTCACTCTAACACAATAAATCCAATGGGTTCATGAATGTGTTCTATAGTTAAGTTACTGGATATATAATTAGAATAGATAATCTTTGCTGACAAAACTGTCACAGTGGTTCCCTGATCTGTGGAGTAATAGCCATTGTGTAAGAGGGCCAGGTAGAGGTCTCTGAAACCACCACTATCATCTTCATCGAGGATAGGAAATCAGAAGCAAGATAGCATCTTAGAAGAATTGCAAAGACTATCAAAGACTTAAAGGATTGTGTGGGTTATTGTTTTCATTACATTCCCATTTGATTCTCCTGTCTATCACCTGCAAAAATGAGACATGGCAGATGGCAGTGTAAGGCTATATACTTAACACAATGGTAATTCCAACAGAAGCTGCCATGCAGCATGTAATAACTCCCTATAGATATGCAGCATGTAGTTATATGCCCTGCAGCATGTAGTATCATCTTGGAGCAGATTAACATAGACTTTGGCATTTTGTAGGTAGTTATTGATTGGATATAAGTGGTTTTCCTCATTACCATCATTAGGAAGGATTTATATGCATGAAGGGTAGGAGCACATGGTCACTATGTAGCCCCAGGGCTATTTTAATTCTTCTGCCCTATGTTCTAGTGAGCACAAAGGGGCAAGTTCTCAAGATCAATGCTTCTCAAACACTTGTGGTGACAGACCTGTTCTTTCTTTTTCTCCTTTGTTTTTTTTCCTTACTTTCTCCCTCCCACCATACCACACTTTGCCTTCCCCACCCCACACTCTCTTTCTTTCTCATCTGTCATAGAACAATATTATGGAAATTACTGAACTTGACTAGCATATACCCTACTGCACATGCAAATCACCACAAGTTTGACAACCAACAAAATGACTTATATCCTTCTCACTGAGTCTTCTGATAAAATGCTTAGAAAACACAGCAGTATCAAACTACTAAAAATTTCTAAACACAAAATTTTCAGTTTCTGAATTTACCTTGCCATGTGAACAAACAAGTGTTCACTGTCTATGGGCTATAGACCCCTTGTAGACAGTGTAGACATCTGTTTGTAGAGTACGCATTGAGCAGCATGGTCTAAATGGCCTAGCAAAACACACACATACCACAAAATGGGAGATACCATTGGAGGTAATCAAGGACATTGATGAAACTTTTAGGATTCAGCACTGCATATTCTGGGAACACCATCTTGACATAAAGGACAATTGCACCTGTCACATAATGCCACTAAGAAAAAAAAACTTATCATTATGGGCCTCTTTGGGTTCTAAGGGCAATATTTACTGTTTTTGGCAATGCAACTCCAACCCATTTATCAGATGACTTAGAAAGCTTCTGGTTGCAAATTGCAAATTCTGTCAACAACCACACAAGTTTGGAAATGGATCCTTTATCAACTGAGATGCAATTTGAGAACTCGGTATTGACCAACACCTTGATTGCAGCCTTACAAATATCCACAAAGCTGTGCCCAGCCTTATAAAACCTAAGATAATGTGTGTTGCTTAAGCTATCAAGTTTGTGGCAAGTTCTTTTATGCAACAAGAGATACCTAATGAAATGGCACAATCACCCTGAAAATGGTTTGACATTTTCTTATAACATTAAACTTACACCGACCATATGACTCAGCAATTCCATAACCAAGAGAAATGGAAAGCAGGTCTCCCAAAAAGACCCATACAATGTTCTTACATTCACAACAATTTTATAATAACCAAAAATCAGACAAAAACTAATTCCATCAATACAAGAATTCATGAAAAATTGTGGTGTATTATTACAGTACAAAGAATGCTGTTCAGCAGTAATGTGAGATGAACTTTTGATACTCGCAAAACGTGAATGGATATCAAAAACATGTTAAGAAAACCAGACACAAAGAAGTATTAACAGTACGAATCCATTTATATGAAATTTTAGGACAGGCAAACCTAATCTGTGGTGAAAGAAATTGGACCAATGGATGCTCCAGAGATTGTGGCAGGCATTGATTTGGAAAGGGTATGAGATCACTTTCTACAATTATTGACATATTCTGTGTCTTAGGGTGTTGGTCATAGAGGTATATTCATTTGTCAAAACGTTGTATCTATACACTCAAAAGGTATCTTTATCACTATAGGTAAATTGCATCTCAATTTAAAAAAGAAAGAAAAAAATGAAGTACAAAGAACTATCTGTTTGTAAAAGGATAGTAGTCTATCTTGAACCAAATTACCCCAAGATGCTTTATCTTAATCCAAAGATAAAGAGAAAAATGTAGACTACCTGCTGTCATGTGAGATCTGTAAGAGCATCAGGTTCCAAAGGAAAAAGCACATTCTGACTGGTTCCATCCTCTTAGTCTTTTTGCCTTAAGCTTCATTGATTCAATCCACCCAAAGAAAATCATCCCACCAATAAATGCTATGACTTCCTATCCCATCTATAATCAATAAATAAACACAGTGTGACCTAAACACAACCAAACCTGTTCAAAGAAGTTTCAAAGATACCTTTATCAACCTTACCACCATACTACTTAGAAAAACAGGGTTGGTTTTCATAGAAGTATTACTTATATCAAAATAATATTTGTTGGGGTGCTCTGCTAAACAATGTGAACAAATTGAATTATCAATGACCTTTGAGCTTAAAACTATAAAGGGCACAAAAACCAAGTCTGAGAAACTATCACAGCTTAAAGAGTCTAAGGAGAAAGAATAATTAAATGTAATTTGATATCCTAGATGGGATCTTTGAACAGAAAAAGGACATTAGGTAAAACTAAGGAAATCTGAATACAGTATGGACTTTTAAAGGTAATAATAATGAATCAGTATTGGTTAATTACCATGCTAACATAAGAAGTTAATAACAAGGGAAAGTATATGAAGCAGGGGGTGGGAAAATACATGGAACTGTACTGTTTTCTCAACTTTTCTGTGAATTTAAAACTGCTCTAAAACTAAAGTACTTAAAAAAAAAAAGACCACTGAGAGCAAGTTGTTTATATTATTTAATAGTAATATCTGGGAGACAAGCACCATAAGAAACTTATCACATACTGAGAAGACTGAGAGAGGGCAGGATTAAAATATGATATTAGAGAAAAAGATCAGCATCCCAGGGAACAGAATAAGTTCATTTTTTCAAATGTAATCAATGACAATCAGGTTCCCTGCTGCTAAATTCTGTTTTTTCTATTTTACCCTCTACTAATCCGGATGTGCAACATGTGTAAGTTCCCCCAAATAAATTACTGGCATAAAAGTATTAATGGGAAATGTAGTTGGTTTTGATTAATTTGTAGAAAAAAAAATGGAAATGCTGTTTATGTTGAATGAGGAAACTATGTTTTAATCTCTTTTAAGGTGGAGATGTATAAGAGTCTTACTGGGGCAATAGGAAAATTTGGATATGCATTAGATATTGTGTTGTATCAAATTTAAGTTCCTCAGTGGAATAAACTATATTGTAGTCATAGGAGAATGGCCTTGCTCTTAGGAAATACATGCTGAAGTATTTAGTAGTCATGATATCTATAAAGATGATTCAAAAACTATATACCTGTGCACATTTCTCCCTATAGCTATTGATCTTTCTATATAGCCATACAGAAAATGAATATATGTACATATTTGTACAGGTGTATGCTCTCATTATATACGTATATACACGTATAAGGACATATGAGTCTTTATGATACTATACTTGCAATTTTTCCAAAGGTTTGAAATTTCTCAAAATAAAATATTTGTGAGAATCCCTCTTAATATATCTATTCTTCAAAATCTACACTTGGGAGCCAGGTGCAGTGGTACATGCTTATAATCCTTGCTACTCAGGAGGCCGAGGCAAAAGGATCACAAGTTCAAAGCCAGCCTCAATAACTTAATGAGACCATGTCTCAAATTTTAAAAGGTGTCATGGTCAAGCATTTCAGGTTCAATCTCAAGTACCACAAAAAAGAAAGAGAGAAAACAATAAACTCCCAAACCAAATCCAAATCCACACTTGTTTCCCCACTCCCGAGAGTTTCTTTTTAATATTCTTTCCCCAATAATGCCCCAGTTTTGTTGACACTGGAGTCCTTCATGTTTTTTTTTTCCCATTCAAATATATTTCCTCTCTATTGCACAAAATGTTGACCTCTGCTTGGCATCAACTCCCAAACCCACAATTCTAAACCAATCAAAAATTTCCATGAAACTTCAAATGCTC